TCAAGCTCTTTGCAGCACAAAACAAAAGCCTTCACGTATAGCCCTTCTCATATATAGTAGAACAATGTCAACTCAACCCTTGGCCCTTCCCTCTCCCCCTCCAAATACAACCTGCAAAACTATCCGTCGACCCACATCTAGTTATCACCCTAGTCTTTGGAAGGATTATTTTCTCCAACATTCTTCAAATTCCATGGTTTTCATTCTCCTCTACTTACTTTCTATATTCGATTATTATTTCATAATTACGTTTTTCATTTTGAGTTTTCATTGCATCCCACCTAATTTAGCTTCAAAAGTTGAGTGTCTATGTTATGCCTCTAATCGTACATGTTTATTATCGAATAAGATACTGATTGATACATATTTTTGTTTAATATATTGTATAATACATTTATTAAAAAATCACTATTTTTTGATTTAAAATTAAAAACAGATAATTTTAAAGATGTAACCATGCATACTTGATACAAGAATTAGTTGAAATAATTGTACTTTTATTATATTGTAATAACTAATCAAGATAGGTGTTAGAAGTGTATTGAACTGAATGTGTACCTATTTTTTTCCTATCTAATGAAACATCTTGGTCCTAATATATGAATTATGAGGCCACCAATATAATTACCCTAATCACTATTGTTTCTTGGAGGAATTAATCTTTAGGTTGTAGCACAAATTAAATTGATTACTAGTACACATTTAATGTTTTGTTTTGGAATGATTTTTTCAGAAAAATGAACCCACAACACAAGGAGAATATGATGAATTGAAGCAACAAGTAAGGGGAATGCTAACTGATGCTGCCACCATTGATCTTTCGAAGAAATTGCATTTAATTGATATGGTTCAACGCCTAGGCATTGCTTACCATTTTGAGATAGAAATTGAAAATGCCTTAGAGAAGATAAATCTTGGTGATGCTAATTATTTTGAATTTGACCTTTATACGATTGCTCTTGGGTTTCGATTGCTTAGACAACAAGGAATCAAAGTTTCATCTGGTTAGTCATTTTTTCTTAACTTCCAAAAACTATTTTAAGGTCTAATAACAAGTTATGTTTATGAATTATGATCGAGGTTAATTTTTAGTAGTTGCACTCTTGGTGTTCTTGTTATTTATTAATGCAGAGATATTCAAGAAATTCATGGATGAGAAGGGAAAATTCAAGGAAGATGTAATAAATGATGTGCTTGGAATGTTGAATCTATATGAGGCTGCACATCTTCGTCTTCATGGAGAAGATATCCTAGATGAAGCTCTAGCTTTCACTACCTCTCACCTTGAATCAATGGCAACAAAAGTAAGCCCTTTACTTGCTGAACAAATAGCCCATGC